GCCATTCAGGAGTGTAGCAGAGTAAAATATCATTCTCAATTACTCTGAAATAAATCTTTGGGGGAAAAACTCGGTACTAATTTCCTATATTCCAAAAGAAAAACCGCCAAGCAAAGGGGCTGGCACCATAGCCTAACAGGCTACAGCCTCCACCCATAGCAGACCAGCATCCCCCATGGGCACCAGTTTCTGTTCTGGCTGATCTACTTCTAATCCAGCGCCCTGCTTATGGCCTGGGAGATCTCTGTCTCTCTCTGCCTTTCAAATCATAAACAAACAGATAATTAAAAAAATAAAGATAAAACTATAGAACATTCTAGCTAATTCTTCTAAACTCTGGGTTGCTCTCATTAGAGTTTCAGGGACCAGCATTTTGCTCATCACATGTTACCTTCCAGGGTCCAGGAACTTAGACTCTAAAACAGGATACAGATACCTTAACCTTTAGGCTAAAGGCCCGCCTCTGGCAAGATTTTTTTTTTTTTTAAAGCAACAACTCATGCTAACATCACCCAGCTGCGTACAACTGAGTGGCAGAGATGACCAGCAGGACCATGCTATTTCCCCAGATGTCCAAAAGGTGGCAGTAGAAATACATAACCAAACTCCCGGAAGGCCCTTCTGAAACCAAAGTGCAGGCAGGACTCTGGCTAGCTGAGCTCCCTTCCCTGCTGAGTCTGACTGGAAAGCACCTGGAACGATACGGGGACCAGCACGAAGTGCCTGCCCTGCTCACAGCTCTGACAGGCACGCTCGGGGAGGATCTGCTTCCTGGTGTGCTGTTCTGTAAGGCAGGTGCCCAGCAGCCTGGGAATAATCTACAGTAAGTGCTGGCTCACTGGGCTCCCAAGCGGAAGTCTGTGAGAGAACTCAATAAGGTGAGACGTAAACCACAGTGAAAATCGTCAGCAGTTCAAAGGAGCAATTCTGTCCTTACTGTGCGTTTATTTTTATCAGAAAGTCACATTTACAAAGAGAAGGAAAGAGAGAGATCTTCCATCTGTCGATTCAGTCCCCACGCAGCCACCACAGCCAGAGCTGAACCAACCCTAAGCCAAGAGCCTGGAGCCTCTTCCAGGTCTCTCAAGCAGGTGCAGGATCTGAAGGCTATGAACCCTCCTCCACTGCTTTCCCGGCCACAGGCAGGGAGCTGGATGGGAAGCGGAGCTGCTGGGATATGGACCAGCACCCATATGGGATCCCAGCGCATGCAAGACAAGGACTTTAGCCCCCAGGCTACCAGGCTACCGTGCTGGGCCCCCATACTGTGTTTTAAAAAGCTGTTTTCTCAATGGCAGCAATAAAGAATAAGGCATTCTGTTTGCCAACTTGTTAAAAAAAAAAAGACCTCAAGCTTTCACTTGCTCTCAGCTCTTTTTTTCTTTTTGCTTCTATGATAATGCAAATTTAGAAAAACAACTTGGAGTTCATAAACACATTTTCTAAACCTGCCTTTCAATCTTAGCACTACCCTTATGACCAAGAGGCCCTGTAAGTACTTCTCATGAATGTTCTATTAACACTAAACTGCTCCCCAGGGGCCAGTGCCACGGCACAGCTGGTCAGGCTGCCACCTGCAATGCTGGCATCCCAGATGGGCAGCAGTTCAAGTCCTGGCTGTTCCGTTTCTGGTCTAGCTCCCTGATGGTGCACCTGGAAAAGCAGTGTAAAATGTCTCAAGTCTCTCAGACCTTTTTATCCACAGGGCGACCTGGAAGAATCTCCTGGCTTCAGATCAGCCCGCTCTGGCCATTGAGATTATTGGGGAGCAAACCAGTGGATGGGAGACCTTCTTGTCCTTTCTGTAAGTCTGTGATCCATCTGGACACTGGCAGGAAGCTGTCTCAGAAGCAGAGCAGCCCAGACTTGAACTGGCGCCCCCACAGAGATGCTGATGTGACAATGACAGCTTACCTCACTGGTTCACACTACCAGCTCTTGGATATTTTTCAATTAAAAAGTTATTGTGGGGGCCTGGCGGCGTGGCCTAGTGGCTAAAGTCCTCGCCTTGAACGCACCAGGATCCCATATGGGCGATGGTTCTAATCCCAGCAGCCCCACTTACCATCCAGCTCCCTGCCTGTGGCCTGGGAAAGCAGTCGAGGATGGCCCAAAGCCTTGGGACCCTGCATCCGCGTGGGAGACCTGGAAGAGGTTCCTGGTTCCCGGCTTCGGATCGGCGCAGTACCGGCTGTTGCGCTCACTTGGGGAGTGAATCATCGGACGGAAGATCTTCCTCTCTGTCTCTCCTCCTCTCTGTATATCTGACTTTGTAATAAAAAAAAATCTTAAATAAGTTATTGTGAGCCTGTTCACTGTGTTATCATGTAAACAACACTTCTACTGCTTCTGCAAAGAACACAACACACAGTGTTCCCCTCTGCAGCCCCCAGAGCTGCCGCCTGCCCCAAGAGCTGACTTCCTGGAGAGCAGGGAGGCTACCTGGAGGATGGTTCCTGGCCCTTGAAGGGCTAGCCTCTTCCGGGCAGTGGCGATGGCAATGAGGGCTCCCAAGAACCCACCCAGCCTGCCAGCCGATTGTTGGGCACCTTCCAATCTGGGGGCGTGGGACCTTCAGCTGCTACAGTGGCAATGAGGTTTCACTTTGTTTTGTTTTTCAAGTATGAAAGCTGAGGATGTGCTGTTAGGGCCATGGCAGCGAGGACAGCGACACTGCTGCCTCTCCCCGGGCTGGCAACCCCTCCTCACAGTGATGCCACCACCCCCACTTCACTGACAACAAAGTTATGTAAGAGCCAACATGGAATGTTCTAGAACTCAGGCCCGTCTCTGATCCCTGCCAACAGCCTCCTGCAGGGTTACAATCGATTCTGCAGCATGGGAGAAGGCCGAGCAGACCCACAACCCGAGGATGCCCCACTTACCTTTCCCAGCTTTGCTCTCAGCCGTCTCTCCTCCATCCTCTTCCTCAGCATTTCTACATCCTCCTTGGTACCATTGAGCACAATGATGTCATCCTCCTGGAAGGCAGCCCCACACTGGGAAGGCAAGAAAGCAAAGGCCGTCGTCACGCAGGGCCCTCTGTCCCAAGCATGGGTCCTAAGCTCCAGGTCCTGCAACCTGCTGTTTGCATCCTGGCTCAGCCAGCTCTCAGATCCCAGCCCAGGCCTGGGAAGGCTCCGTCCACACAGGTATTAGCGTGAGAACCCCCCAGAGTGCTACCTGCCAGGGACCTGCCTGCAAGCTTCGTCCTTGCAGTGTCTGTGAACTTGGATTGGGGGGGTTGCAAACATCGAATGTACATTTTTTAACTGAACAAGATGGCTCGTGGTGCCAACACAGTCAGTGAAAGTAAGGGGGTTGAGGCTCAACAGCTGCCTCCCAGCAGAGGCTATGCCAGCAGCACAGCAGAAGCCCCAGGCACTGAAGGGTCCTTGGGGACATGGTATGCACACTGCTGTGTTTCATAGCTGGGAAGTGATTGCCATGTTATCCCTCAAGGCAGGATTCTTGCAGCCTCTACAGCCATGTCTGCTTTCCCATGCAGCTAAGCATCCTGCCCTGACCACAGGCTCAGCTCCCACAACACAGACCCTCCGGGAGCCACAATGGAAAGCCAGGGCTTCTCCGGATGCTACATAAGAAGAGACAAGATTGCAAGATGACTTTTATTTATCCCTTTAACTAAAAAGGGTCATCTATCTCAATTCTGCCAACTGTACAGCATTTGGGCACTGGGCCTGGATGTCACGACTGCACCCAGCAGTTCTCAGAATGCCCGCCGGGACCTGCGCCGCGTGCATGCTCTTGCTGCCTGTTGTCTCATTGGGTTTTCCCAGCAGGTGATCTGGTCCTGAAGACACACTCAGCAACCGTTTCCCAGTATGTAAGTGGAATCGGCAAGGATGAACTCCCCAGGGATGTAACAGCAACAACACAGACTGCCAAGCAACCCAGTGTGCTGAGGAGCCGAGTCACTGCCAGACGCCAGGGAGAGAACGCTGGGAGCTAACTACTGCCCTGCCAGGACCCCCTCCTGGGCGGCTACCACCACACCTGCCCCGCCAGGACGCCCTCCTGGAGGCTGCCACCACTCCTGCCCCACCAGGACCCCCTCCCGGTGGCTGCCACTGCTCCTGCCCCACCAGGACCCCCTCCGGTGGCTACCACCACTCCTGCCCTGCCAGGACCCCCTCCCGGCGGCTGCCACCGCTCCTGCCCCACCAGGACCCCCTCCGGCGGCTACCACCATTCCTGCCTTGCCAGGACCCCCTCCCGGCGGCTGCCACCGCTCCTGCCCCACCAGGACCCCCTCCCGGTGGCTGCCACCGCTCCTGCCCTGCCAGGACCCCCTCCCGGCGGCAGCAGGAGGAACACTCCCTTGTGAACACTTTGTTAACGCAACGGTCAACAGCAGGAGACAAGCAGGTATTACTTTTGAGGTATGAAACACTTTTCTTCTCCCCACTATTGTGTTGAAATAGAAGTTTTAGAAGATCAGACACCTGAAATGCCTGTGCTCCAGCATCTTTAACCACTGTTTGTTAAACACCAAGAAAACATAAGCGTAATATTTTCACAGTGTGAATGGCTGGGACTGGGTCTGGCTGAAGCCTGGAACCAGAACTGAATCAGAATCTCTTATATGGGTTATCTGGGCTGTAAACTAGTGGCTTGGAATCCTGTTTCTCTCACTGGCTCTCAAACAAGTTAACTGTTTTGCAATTTCTTTACATGGAATTACATCTATAGTGAAAACGAGCATATCGGCAATTGCGGAATGGGGTGGGCAGGGTGGACTAAAGGGACAGGATAAACTGAAGGCCAGTGAAATGCTTGTTTTCTTGGTGTGGGGCGCTTCTGTGGGCATACATGTAAAAACAGATCAAACTGGACATTTGAAATGCATACAGTTTAGTATGAATCATAAAGTTGAGGTAGGGGAGTTACAACCACCTGAATTCTATCCATTGTTCTCTTAGGAAGTTTGAAGGCAAATTTCAAGCTACGGTGATGAGAACACACTTGGAGCCCAAACCATGAGCCAGCTTCGAGCCAGCAGGCCGGGACTCGGGGTGTGTGTCGTCATCTGCATCTTCCTTTTCCTTTATTTAAGGAATCCAGTTCCTGAGGACCCAGAGGAGGGGCCCACCTCCGCGGGAGGGCTGGAGTGTGGCTTTTACCCAGATGAGCTGTGTTCAGCGTTATTTGAAGGGAAACCAGCAGCCCCCCAGCTTGCAAAATTCTGTAAGATCTCTCATCAATCCCAAATACTTGCTCACTTACACACATCAGGAAACTGCTCTGGCATTTCCCAGGGGCTACGTTTTATAACCAAACCCCTGTCGGCAGAAGAGGGCAACTTTCCCTTGGCATATATTATCACTGTTCCTAAGGAGCCGGCGTCGTTCGTGCAGCTTCTCAGAGCGGTTTACGCGCCTCAGAACGCTTACTGCATCCACGCCGACAGGGAGGCCTCCGAGCAGGCCAGGGCTGCCGCGCAAACTCTGGCCGGCTGTTTTGAAAACATTTTTATTTCATCTGAGAGAGAGAAGGCAACTTCTGCTGCTGTCACAAGACTAGAGGCAGATATTAACTGCATGGAGGATCTAGCTCATCCCAAATTCCAGTGGAACTACGTCATCAAGCTTTGTGGACAGGACTTCCCAATCAAAACCAACCGAGAAGTCATACACTACCTCAGGAGCAGAGCGAGGGATAAAAACATCACTCCAGTCAAGGCCCCAAAAGCTACATCCACGACAAGGCCGCGTCGCCCCGACTCCAGTGCTGAAGAACCTACCCACGTGTCTCCAAACAGAAGAGCCCACGCCGAGCCGCCCCACAACATCACAGTTTATTCTGGCAGCGCTTACTTTGCTCTGACGAGGAAGTTTGTAGAGTTTGTGCTGACTGACATTCGTGCAAAAGACTTGCTGCAGTGGTCCAAAGCCGTCGAGCGCCCCGAGCAGCACTACTGGGCGACCCTGAACCGACTGCCAGGTAAGGACAGGGCAACACAGCCAGGCACCCGGGACAGAAGCAAGCGCCATGCTGTGTCCTTCGTCTCCCTTCTATTCTGCTGGTTTGCTGCAGTATTGTCAATATTTTGTATTTTAGCGGTCTGACATTCACTGGAAGTCCTTCTTTGTTTTTAAAGATTTATTTATTTTCATTGGAAAGTCATATTTATAGGAAGAAGCAGATACAGAAGCATCTGTTGGCTGGTTCACTCCGCAGTGGCCGCAATGGCCGGAGCTGAGCCAATCCAAAGCCAGGAGCTTTTTCTGGGTCTCCCATGTGGGTGCAGGGTCCCAAGGCTTTGGGCCGTCCTCAACTGCTTTCCAGGCCACAAGCAAGGAGATGGATGGGGAAACAGAGCAGCCAGGACATGAACCAGAGCCTATACGGGATCCTGGTGCAAGCAAGGCAAGGACTTTCAGCCACTAGGCTATTGCGCCAGGCCCTCACCAGAAATCTTATTCCCAAACCAACATGGCTACTTCCATTCCCTCTGCAGAAACAAGCAGCAGCGCTCTGCAGCTCTTAGAGAGCGCCTGAAGATTCCAACCCTACCTCTTTGGAAAGGTCTTTATTTCTTCATTCCCTGAATAAAAATACCACTGGAGACCTAGTTCCAGACACTGAGTAAAGCACTTAAGAAAATTCTAAAATTAGCAATGTTCTGTGGTTAATCTGATACAGGAAAGTCCAGAAATCCAAAATATTCCAAAATCTGAAATGCATTTTGGTCCCCAGCGTTTCAGATAAGAGACTCTCATGCGCTTCCGACAGTTTCTCTGAACGGTGGCACTCCTGCCAGTCGGCTTCAGGGCCTTCGCTCAGTGAGTAAGTGGCCGGCCCTAGCGGAAGTGCGGCTGCAAGTCTGAAAAGCCACCAGTCCTCTAAACACTGCAAACAAGCAAATTCCCAGGAATCGGTAGCATCTAACTGTTTGATTTCTCATAACCACTGCAACTTGCATATAACCACGGGTGGCACTCTGAAAAACCAAGGGAGTTACAAAGACCGGAAAGGGATTAAAAGCAAAATGTCAGTTTCCACGGCCAGTGCAGCAACATTCCCTCCCACCCTCCAAGCACTGAGAAGTCCGCATCCAGACTGGCACTCCCCCTCCGTCCATCTCAGGACCACGGCACCCAGGCCCAAGGAGCTGGGATGCTGACCCCACCCTCTGTCCACACTGATTCCTGTCTCTCTTTAGATGCTCCGGGTGCCACACCGCACGCTGCCTGGGAAGGACACATTTGCGCCATTAAATGGAGAAATGAGGAAGGCAGAGCTCACAACGGATGCAAAGGTAAACCCTTCATGCTAATTTATCAGAGGATGCGGCTGCTGCCTCAGCCAGCGCAGACACCCAGTCATGTCTACGCTGAACCCAGAATCATCCAGATTTCCACTCAGCACAGCTGTCCATACAGAGCACACACACAGATGACAGACACAGGCCGGTAAATTCTCAAAAAGTAGACACACAGCTTGGCTAAAAAAACCCCAAAAAACTGATTTTTATTGAAAAGGCAGACTTACAGAGAGAAGGCAATACAGAGAAAAGTCTTCCATCCACTGGTTTATTCCCCAAGTGGCTACAACAGCTGGAGCTGAGCCAATCCAAAGCCAGGAGCCAGGAGCCAGGAGCCAGGAGCTTCTTCTTGGTCTCCCATGCAGGTGCAGGGTCCCAAGGCTTTGGGCTGTCCTCGACTGCTTTCCCAGGCCACAAGCAGGGTTGCATGGGAAGTGGAGCAGCTGGGACATGAACCAGTGCCCATTTGGGATCCTGGCGCTTGCAAGGTGAGGATTTAGCCACTGAGTCACATTGCACCAGGCCCAGAAAGAAAAATTTTAAATAACAGTATACAAGTTCTCTGGCTTTTTCAACCTATTTCTGGAATTGAAACTCAAACACTAATGGAAAGTGAACTCTGTTCCCCCGTTTCTCTGATAAAATAGAAAGCTGGGTAACATGGGCACACACTTCCATACAGAGGCCAGCAAACTACTGTCTGCTGCCTAGATTTACAAGTAACATTTTACTGGGACACAGCCGCACTCACTGGGTACGTCATTCACACATAAAGAGCAGAACTATGGAGTTAGGACAGGGACCTCACCAGGGACACAAAGGCAGATACATACAGGCTGTGGCCCTATGCACAGCTGGCTACACCAACCCACAGCGCAGGGTGCTGTTTGCACCGTGCACACTCTAAGCAGGGAGACTGGTACGACCGGGTCTACTGCCGCACGCACACCTCCCAACCTCCCCAATCTGTGGACGCTCGGAATCGCTTTTCTGAGTTGTGACATGGAGGCTGCCGCAGGCTTGTGGTCCAACGAATCAGAACCAAGTAGACCTTTCTCTTTAAAGTCTGATTACGTTTGGATACTGTCAAGTGCTTCCCTCTGCATTCCTGCTCTGGGAACTGCTCCCGGGAATGAGCTCTCCTTTGTGTCCCTGCTGGTGTCCCCAAGGTCTGTTACCAGGGTGACGCACCATGGGAAAGGTCTGGGAGGAACTGGGACCTGGCCATGCAGATGGGGTCAGCACGCACATTTTGGGAGCTGACTTAGGAACTAACACTTCTTATGACCTGTCCACAGTCAAGAAGACTTAGCACTAACACAAACAGTGACTACATCTCCTTTTGTCATCAATTAAAGCTCCTCATGAAAGCCCCCGTCAAGCAATTATGGAAATACGGTTCACGTGGAATTCTGGTGAAGCCAGGAGCATGCGCCGCCTTGCACGTGATCTAAGCTGGTGGGTAACACACAGTGACACTTCCGGTTCCCTTTGCAGGTCACTACGTGCAGGACGCCTGCGTGTACGGACCAGGAGACCTGCCATGGATCATTCGGTCGCCTTCTCTGTTTGCCCACAAATTCGAGTCCTCGGCAGACCCACTCGTGGTCACGTGTCTGGAAAGGTGGCACAGACGCCAAGTCCTAGAGCAGGCAGAAGTGCCCCTGGAGCCACAATGGCACTTTCAAGAGGAGAGGCCTTTCCCATGAAGCTGGCCCCTCACTGCCCATTCTGTTTCCGGCAGTGGAAACCGGAGGGCCCCGGGCCAAAGAGCGAACACGGGGCTAGTATGCCTTCACACCAAGCGTCCAGAGTGAGGTCCACGTGACCGTGACGACAGGCCACTCCTAGTGCTGGGAAGGGAGTCATCACAGCGGTCACAATTCAAGTGACCGCTGGCGCCGGGCAGAGAGACCCTGCGAGGTCGCCAGCTCCTGTGAGCAGAGGCCGAGGCCGGACTCGAGCTGCAGTCAGAACAACACGTCCGTGTGAGGGTCTGGGTGCCCCTAATAAAGAGCAACCCCGCTGACAATGAAGGCACGCGCCCAGAGCAGTCCGACTCGGCCGAGAGCAGCCTAGCTGGTGAGCCTAGACCTGTTTCTTCTCCAAAATGATTGACCTACGATTTTCTTATCATTTGCGCAGGACAGAGCATACAAGCAAGAGAGCATGCCCCCCTGTGGTTCACGTTCCAGACGCCCCAGTGACCAGGGCCGGGCAGGCCGGGAGCTGGCAGCGCAGTGCGGGTCCCAAGCTGAGCCCTGTCAGTAAGATGAAACTGCTCTGGGGTGGGACAACGTCTTAAGAAGGCTGCCTAAGTGTCCATGGCCTTCACACATCATGACAGGTACCTTCTGCGCAGCTGTCCAATACAGCTCACCGGCACTGGAAGTAGGGCTGGTACAACTGAAGAAGTGGATGCTAATTTTATTTACTCCCTAAACTTATCGTTAGTTTAATTTTCGACCCGGGTGGTGAGGGCCACCATGCTGAAGGGTGCTGTCCGAGGGAGCCATGAGTGCTCCTGGCCACCCCTTGGCTCGGAGCGCTGCTTCGGCAGCTGTGGTCAAGAACTTCACAAACTGTCAGAGCTCTCAGCCCTGCACAAGGTGCATTTGCCTTGTCAGTGGAGTGTCCAGGGAGGGGCAGCTGTACAGTCAGTAAGCCGCAGTCGTGGAGCGCGGCCTGCAGGCCCTGTCCTGGGTGTTACCGACTCCCTGAGGCATGATATCCAGCAGATCCTGGAGGGCCCCGTGGAGGAGGCCAACGCTTCAAGCCAGGCTGAGCTGACCACTTGAAGAGACCCCCTCCACCTCCTACAGTTTAACTTTTCTCCTTGCACGGCATCACCTCCAGGAGATGAGTGTAAAAAAGCAGCACGTGCACACACGTCTCTTTTACTTCTGACTTAAAAATGCGGACACAGGGCCCGGTGGCGTGGCCTAGCAGCTAAAGTTCTCTCCTTGAATATGCCGGAATCCCATATGGGCGCCAGTTCTAATTCCCTAAGCCCCACTTCCCATCCAGCTCCCAGCTTGTGGCCTGGGAAAGTAGTCGAGGATGGCCCAAGGCTTTGGGACCCTGCACCCGTGTGGGATAGCTGGAAGAGGTTCCTGGATCCTGGCTTCGGATTGGCATAGCATTGGCCATTGCGCTCACTTGGGGAGTGTATCAAGGGACGGAAGATCTTCCTCTCTGTCTCTCCTCCTCTCTGTATATCTAACTTTCCAATAAATAAATAAATCTTAAAAAAAAAAGGGGGCCTGGCGCGGAGGCGCAGTGGTTAAGGTCCTCGCCTTGCATGCCCGGGATCCCATATGGGCGCGAGTTCTAATCCCCTAAGCCCCACTTCCCATCCAGCTCCCTGCCTGAGGCCCGGGAAAGCAATCAAGGACGGCCCAAGGCTTTGGGACCCTGCACCCGCATGGGAGACCTGAAAGAGGCTCCTAGCTTCGGATCGGCATAGCATCGGCCGTTGCGCTCACTTGGGGAGTGAATCATCAGACAGAAGATCTTCCTCTCTGTCTCTCCTCTCTGTATATCTGCCTTTCCAATAAAAATAAAATAAATATTAAAAAAAAAAAAACGCGGACACATTCCTGTCACCTGCCTACCAAGCCTAAATAAACCAGAAAACCCAGGAAATGCTACTGCCTGATCACACTCCGTACCAAGGCCAGTCCTCCACCATCACTCTGGGATCCCGGGGAAATGCACAGGGTTTCACAGGTCTGCGTGGCCTAAGGGGCAGAGCAAAACAAAAACAAAAGCAAAACCAAAGCCTTCCAGCAGGTCTCTGGCCGTGTTCTCAGCAACAAGCACATCGCGTGCTTTTGCAGCCTGGAATTACCTCCAGTGTGTTTTGTGCTAACGCGGCAAAGAATACAGTGGGGAATATAATTCATCTTTTGGCTAGTGATTTGTTTGTAGTAAAAACAATAAAAACCTAGCAACTCCATCTCTCTGGACCCTGATTACTGAAATCCAGCGCACACACCATGCGTGTCAGAACTCGGACAAAGCTTTTCACACCCTCAGGCCTCTTCAAGTGAGCTGACAAGCAGGATGATTGGTGAGGCTCGGGCTGAGAAGCTGAGACGCCACAGCCCACCAGCACGGTTCCTAGATGCCGGCTGCTCAATCCCAGACCCTGCAGCCCTGCAGCGCCTGAGAGCCACACTTCAGGCACGACAGCCGACACTTAACACCAACTGTCCCCACCACCTGACGGCCGAACACGTGGTGCTGCCCCACCAGTCCCAGCAGTGCAGGAAAACGTGTCACTCACGGCTGGTGGCGGGGCTGCTGCTGGCAAACCTGTGTCACTCACAGCTGGTGGCGGGGCTGCTGCCAGCTGAGCAGCAGCAGAGCACTGCCCGGTGGTGGTCTGGGTAAGGACTGTCCTCACGTGCTTACTGTGCTTACCTTTGCTTTCAGAAGGCACTCTTACTAATAAGGTAAAAAGGCGTCCCCCGACACAGCTCGTGTGGCCACCCTGCAGCAGGCTCCCACGTCTCACTGTGACCCTGAGTCTGCATCGTGAGGCCACGGCCAGCAGTGTGCCGTCCCCACAGTGACCACACTTCCCAGCACCGCAGTTCTCGGAACACAACCCTTGGACTAACTGTACTTAGAAAATCCGTGCCTAGCACTGTGGCCCCTCCTTCCTTCATTCACATTCCCTGCCACCCAGCAGTTCCTGGAACTGCATGACCCCCCTTTTCTTTCGGCAAGCGTAACAGAAATGGCTGGCGCGTGCTGCTTCTCGTGGGGCGCCCAGATTACATTGTTGAGGCTCCCGAGTCGTCCACGTGGTGACATGACTGAGTTTCGGCCAACAGAACCTGAGCAAAGTGTGCCACCCCAGGCTTAAAAGGCCCCAAGGTGGATGATCTTCCTCATCAAGTCAACAAGTCGGAGGAAGTCAGAGCCGCAGGGCAGGAAGAGCCCCAACCTTGAGGTGACCAAGAATGGTCACGGCATCTGCCTCTGCAACGCAAGGGCTGGCTGTTGCTCCGTCCTACTCAGCAGACTCAGTACCACTAACTTCAGAGCCTTTATTCGGAAACTGGGGCTTGATTCTTAGTAACAGCATGAGTTTATCATTTTCATTCATTTTAAGCTGTTACTGCTTGGATCTAAAAGGAAACCATCTGAGACGTTACTGCCATTGCAGAGGGGCACAGTGACAACGTCAAGGCCAGAGCTGGAGTGTGAGCCCACACTGACACGCCAGGCTATCCGCGTGAGTGTGAGAAACCCAGTCCTCATCACAGAGTTTCTGGGTGAGGTTTCACAAAGTTCCTTTAGCAGAGGGATGATTCTAGGACTAGCACGTGTCCAGGCTGCTTCAAGGCTGAGTTCTAAAATCCACAGCCCTGCTGTGGACAGCGGCCCAACTGTCCTCTCCTCCCTCTGCCCTGGCCCTCCCTCCTGCTCCGTCACAGCCAAGCTCTCACACAGCTGGCCGGGCTGGCTGCTGGGTCTCCTTCCGGACGTAGCTACTCCTCCATGGGTGCCTCACCCTCCCTCGGCTGGAGCGCCTCACAGGCTTCCTTTTCATCAGGTGCCACCATCAGTCCCACCATGATCATCTATCTAGGTGTCTGTCTCAACTGGCAGAAACCTTCATGGACCCTACCCAACAGATACGCCACCCAACAGTATCTAGGACTCAACAAGACAACGGGTCTGATGGAACCTGAGCAGAGGTGACGCAGGTGACATACAGTCAGAACCACTGGGGCCTGGGACATCACACCATCTGCCAGGCCAGCAGAACTCACCAAAAACACAAACGCTTTCGGTCCCAGAGGAACCCCTCCATGTGAGCCGAGAACATGAACTCCCAGATCAAGAATCTGCCCCTTCAGGGAAGCAGTCAGGGCACACTCCGGGGAAGACAGCTCCACAGATGAAGATGCAAGCCGTGTTGTGCGTCCCAAAGACTCGGCCCAGTGGGGAAACTGACACACTTATACAATGACATCACAGTGGGAGAGATAACAAGGTGCCCGGGGAATATGGAAGAGCGAGCTCCGGGACTAAGGCTCCCAGAGCAATCAGCCCCTCCAGGCTCGCGGCTGCAGACACAGGCAGCAAGGGGCATGCTGACAGCAGTGCGGGAGTGGTCCCCCGGCCAGGTAGGCGGTGGTCAGATCCCAAGAGGCTGGCTCTGAGCTTCCAGCAACGAGGAACCACGCACGGGTTTTAAGCAGTAACTTACTCTCTTAGGAGAGACACAGGGAAGAACCTTTAGCCGTTTGGTTTAGTTACTAAGAAGGAACAAACTGTATGTGTCAAGAACTTACCGTGTGGCAAACTTCCGCTTTTATCTCTTTCAAAGCTCGTTCAGAAAACACACAGCCACAGCATCGCAGGAAGCAAAACCTGGAGAGAGAGAGAGAGAGAGAGAGAGCAGCGTGGACCATAACAAGAGCTCACAGAGCCCGTTCCCACGGCGTCAGCTCATCTTCCCTGGGTTTACACAAAGGAGAAAGGCTACATTTCCTTAAAAACAAGCAAAACTGTCCAAACTGTAAAAAGAATTTATCAAATCAATATAAAACTTTAAAAAATATTAAAAAAAATCAGAAGGCAGACTAGAAACTCGAAATATTTTTAAAATTGAAGTTAACTAGATGCTTATTTACTGAATATTCAAAGGGGCCTGGAAAAGCAATAGCAAACAATATAGCAGAAAACAGGC